GATATAGGTTATTTCAGTGCACTGTAACTCACTAGAAGTCTGCTATTATTATTTTTTTTTTTCTTTTTTTTTGAGACAGAGGTTCACTCTGTTACCCAGGCTGGAGTAGTTCAGTGGCGCACAATCTTGGGGGCTCACGGCAACCCTCCGCCTCCAGCAGGTTCAAGGCAGTTCCCTGCCTCAGCCGCCCAAGTAGCTGGGTCAGGCACACGGCTGCCACGCCAGACTAATTTTTTTGTATTTTGTAAGATGGGGTTTCAACCTCGTGCCCAGGCTGGTCGGCGAACCCCTGAGCTCAGGCAATCCTCCCCGCCTCGGGCCTCCCCAAGTGCTGGGATTACAGGTATGAGCCATCACGCCTGGCTTGTTCTTACTAATAATTTTTCTTTTTCTTTTTTTTTTTTTGAAGACAAGAGTTTGGCTCTTGTGCCCAGGCTGGAGTGCAACAGCGCAATCTTCAGCTCACCACACCTCTGCCCCGCATTCAAGTGATTCTCCTGCCTCAGCCCTCCCAAGTAGCTGGGGATTACAGACACCTGCCATTCACACCTGGCTGATTTTTTTTTTTTTTTTTTTTTTAGTAGAGGATGGGGTTTCTGCATGTTGGTCGCAGGTGGGCCTCAAACCTCCGACCTCAGGTGAATCCACCCACCTTGGCCTCCCCCAAAGTGGGCTGGGGATACGGCACGGAGCACCCCATGGCCTAAGTCTTTAGAGAAAAATATTAATGCCAGACTCTTGGTGCATAAAAAGCATATTTATTACACAGTTTATACCAAAAGCGCATTTGAAATACACATTACTCTGGTACAATAAGGTGGGAAACTCAACCTCAATGTTAATTCAGCCTTGATCTTAATATAGTCTGTCTCTTAGTGCCTACCTCATAGTTTGTCTCAAAAGTTGAAAATTACCAGCAATTTTCTGTTGATAGCTTTATTTGTAATTTTGGCAAAAGTTTTTTTTCTTTGAGATAGGGTCTTGCTCTGTCACCCAGGCTGGAGTGCAGTGGCACAATCTTTTGGGCTCAAGTGATTCACCCACTTCACCCTCCCAAGTAGCTGGGACCACAGGTGTGCACAATCATGCCATGCTAATTTTTAAAAATTTTTGTAGAGATGGGGTCTTGCTATATTGCCCAGGCTGGTCTTAAACTCCTGAACCCAAGACATTCTCCTGCCTCAGCCTCCCAGAGTACTGGAATTATAGGTGTGAGCCATTATGCTTTAAAAAAAGCTTTAATTATTATTTTGCTAATTTTCTACAGTCATGTCAGTTTCACATGAAACATCTGAGTACCATTTTTGATGAAAATTGTAGAATAGGGATCGTAATATTTTCAGACTTTTTAAACAAATTGAATCATAAGTATTTATTATATATAAAAATAAAACAAAGCAGATTTATTTTTTTATAGAGTTGGGGGGTCTCTATGCTCCCAGGCTGGTCTTGAGCTCCTGGCCATCCGCCGGCCTTAGCTTCCAAAAGTGCTGGGATTATAGGTGTGAGCCACCACACCTGGCCCAAAAAGTAAATTTTAAGACACTTTTAGATTTTAATTTTCGAAAAACAAAATCATTTTATTTGTAGGGGTGAATTAAAGTGATTAAAATAATAACTTGGATAGCCAACTGGTATAGAGTTACTTTCTTAAGATCAATGGATGAAGCAACTAAATTAAGAACTACACACATCAGAGTGAACGAAGATTCTTTGAAAAAATAAACTTAAAAAAGTAAAAAGAACTATGCACAGAGGTGCTAAATAGGAGTGGCTTTATGGCCTGGGTAAATCCAGCACTTGGAAGGCCAGAGGGGGCCGGAAATCAACTTGAGTGTCAGGAGTTCATGACCAGCCTGGGCACCATGGTGAAACCTGTCCTCTACTAAAACTACAAAAATTAGGCGGGGCGTGGTGGGCTCACACCTGTAATCCCAGCTACTCAGCGAGGCTGAGGCCAGGAGAAATCCCGCTTTAACCGTGGAGGCAGAGGGTGCAGTGAGGTGAGATTGTTGCCCGAGCTGCACTCACAGCAATGGGAGGCAGGGCAACACGGTGTCTTGAAAAAAAAACGACAAAAACAAACAAAAGGGCCGGGGCAATGGTGGGTGCTCAACACCTGCGTAAATCCCAAGAAACTTTGGAGGCCCGTCATGGGTGGATCACAAGGTCAGGGATTCGGAGACACAAAGCCTGGGCCAAAGCGTAGTAAAACCCTGTCCTCTACTAAAAAATACAAAATTAGCTGGCATGGGTCGGGGCTGTGCCTTGTAGTGCCGCCAGCTGACTCAGGAGGAGCGGAGGCCAGAGGAGAATCCGTTGAACCCGGGAGGGCAGAGGTTGTGATGAGCCAAGACTACGCACTTGCAAACTCCAGCGCTGGGCGCAACAGGAGCATGACTCCATCCAAAAAAAGTGTTTTTAAAAAAGCTTAAATCGTTTAAGTAGCTAGGCATGGGTGGCACAACGGCCCATAAAATTCAAGGTAAGCCTCGGGAGCTGGTTGGAAAGGAATCCGCGTGTGGAGCCAACATCAGAGGTTCTGGTGAAGCTAAGACAACAATCACTGGGTTACCTTCCCAGCTGGGGACAGAGGCAAGCCTGACCAGACCAGGGCGCACCCAACACGACCGGGCGGGAGAGGGCGTTCGTGCAGGTAGGGTCGCGAGAAAGTTTTAAGTGAAAAAGCAAACATTAACAAGGGTACGCCAAATTCAACTTCTTGCAAGAAAGCGTGCATAATACCATGATATGGACGGGTCGGAACGCCTATTTTAGCACCTCTTGCATAGTTCTTGTTACTGTTTTAAGTTTATTTTTTCAAAGAATCTTCGTT